TTGGTATGTGGGCTTGGCTTCGGATGATTGATTTTGGGTGCTCATTGTGCAGGTGTTGCTTCTCCGGGATTTGTATTAATATTACGAAATCTTTTGTTTAAAATAAAATATTTATTCTTGTTATTATGATAGGTGAATACATTTGCAACTATTTGCTCAGAACAGGGGTCATTTGTGAGCGGACCTGTCGCCGGCCCGAAGGGTGCCATGAACATTGGAGAGCCAAGAAGCGTCTTCCTTGTAAGGTATGTAATATGCCGACTAGCTCTGAGCCCGGCCTTTGTAGAAAGCATGCTAGTGGATATTACGTAACCCAGTATATTAATAGACTTCAGAAAAAGGCTTGGGAGCTTCAACTTTATAAAAATTGTTAGGGTTAGATCTTTATACCTAGTCTGAAAAATTTACACGTAGCCCAAATTTTTTTACACCTATCTGAAAAATTTACACCCGGCCCGAATTTTTTTGCACCCAATGCAAAAATTTTCACCTAAAGGTGAAAATTTTTAACCCTTGCTAAATAGTATTAAATCGCTTTTTGAATTAATTCTAGGATAACATTAGAAATAGTATGCATTTTAGGCTTGAATGGGCTCGCAGAGAAGCACACTCAGACACTTCGGTCCTCGGTGCTCTCTGCTCATTTCAAGGGCAAGCCATATAGCATAATTTTTTTGTTATCTTGTTTGGAATTAAAAACCTAGCCAGATTGTTAACAAAGACTATTTACTCCTTAATGTTGGAAGCCCAAATTTAGGGGTAAGGAGAATAAGTTAACGAGATTTGGCTCTAGTATAATTTAGAGCATGAATTCGATATATGATTTAATATCTAGAAAAGGCTTGTAGGAGTGGTGGGGAGCTTAATTTGAATACACTACCGAATTCTGTCCTAGGACTCCCTTTTTCGCCCTACTAAAGTTCGTTTTTTCGAGTACTCTTTGTAAATATTTGTAGTTTACTTTGTTAAATGCTTTTTGTTGGTCTGAAAAAAGTAGCCAATGGAGTTGTGTATAATCAAGCTGATTTTGCATAGTGGTTATAATATCTATTCAGCATCAATTATTGAACAATTTTTAATAAAGCCTTGTTGGTGTATTCCTATAAGAGTTCGACATACTTTGTTTAGACTATTTGCAAAGTTCTTCATAAATATTATGCCTGTGGATTGAACTTCGTTAAAATTTTTTTCTAAAGCAATGTATTAGTTCTTTGTAAAACTTATATATAAGGATATCTGTGCCAGGGGCCTTATTATTGAAAAGTGTTTTGATAACCTGTGTTCTCCTCTTTGGTAATTTTTTTTGATTAGCATTTTGTTGTCTTCTGCTGATACTTTATATAAGCTATCTGTTATTTCCTCTACATAGTTATCGTCTATAGGTTCGAATTTATATATTGATTCATACTGGTCCCTAATATAAGTTAGTATAGCTTTAGGGTCAGTTGTGGTTAGTCTTTTAGGGATTTTGATTTGCTGTATTGCTAAGATTGAGTGTCTTATTTAGTACTGAATAAAAAAATATTTGGTTGATTTCTCTTTATGTTCAATCTATTTTGCATTCAATCTAAGTTGCTATTGATCTGACAAGTTACTAAGCTCTAACTGCAGTTTGGTTTTTAAGTCGTCTGCCAGAATTTGTAAATTCTCTTTATAAGGGTCTTTTGCTATTGTACAATTTATTTAAGTGATTTATTTGTTTAGCTTATGTATTGCATTTTCTAGAAAGCAAAGTAAAGAGTAAGCTCTGATTATTGATTAAATTTGTATTTATAAAAATCTCACCCCTTTATTAAAGTAGCTTGCTCCAGTTTAGTATTAATTCTTGCCTGCAGAGATTCACTTTTTAGACAACATTTATTGAATTTCCAGTAGGATGTTTGGTGCTGCCTCTTTGAAAGTCAAGTTTACATTCTACTAATAAGTGATCTGAATTTCCATGTCTGGTTGTGATATTTTGTGATAATGTATATTTTGTTCATTAATGAAAATGTAGTCTATTCTTGTAGCTATTAGTTAATTATTACATGTTTTCTGAAAAAATATAAGGAAGTATTTTTGTGTATTCGAAACTGCAGTATCTACTATAGCAGCAAGAGTTTTCTTTAATATGTTGACTGAGAAATCACTATGTGGAGGTGCTTGGCTAACTCTATTGATCTCTGGGTTTAGATTAATGTTAAAATCACTACCAATAATAGTTATGAACTCTTCAGAGATTCTTGGAGCCCAGTTTTCAAAACTTGGTCAAATTGAAATTCTTCTATTATCCATATTTGCAATAATTAAATAAAAGTTGAAATATTACTATAAAGATATTATTGACAAATATAGGAATTTTCATAAATTTCAATTCAAAATATTTGAATTGAATATGTAGTGTAATGAATAGTTGGTATAATTAATTATGTACAGTACGTACAAATAGGAATCACTCATATTTTGTGATTAATTCTTACTTGTCACAAAATAATTGGTCAAAAATTTGAAATAATGATCATGCATTAAATATGTATGTATCATATGTACATACATCTAAGTATAAAATCTGAATTACAAAACATGTGCACAAGGTAAAATTATATATATAAATCTAAAAAACACGTGTACTGAGCATACTGTACACATTGATTTTATACACTGCTCTATACCCATTTACATGTATAGAAAATTGTTGCATATTGTACAACTGAATAAATGAATTCTGTTCATTTTTCAAATGCACAGTGTATAAAAAATCTCACCTCAAAAACATGTGAATATTGTGCACAATGTACACTTAATTTATATGAATAATTTTAAAATGAGTTCACTATAATTTTTATAATACTATAAAACATTTTATATAAATATCTATTTAATTTATATATATATAAATAGATTGTGTGCACAATGTGCTCATGTGCACATAGTTAGGATTTTATTAATAAATTTGGTGTACTATGTGGCTAGAAATCTTGTGAATTTTGTGCACATTTCTAGCCAAAAACATGTAAAACCTTTTAAAATCATGCGCTCATGAGCACATTGAGCACATAGATTTTATACACTGCAAATGCTCTTTAAAGTGTATATTCGATTTACCTCTATTACTGTTTAATAGTATGTCCACTATTTTGTTATTTATAAAACTTAGACATGTGATTGTGTAAAATATTTTTTACTTGAAAATCTCAAAAGAGCTGAATTCATTAAAGTTTTGTAATCATTATTAAAAGAAACTGAAGGCCCCCATCTAGCTCTGTGGTGATTCAACATAATAAATTAGCCATTCTCTTGTATTTTTTCACAAAGTAAGATTACCAAGCATTATAGTTGTTCAATTCACAAACGGAAACCTTGTATACTGATTTGTTAATTTTGTATTTTGTTTTTCAAAGTACCCATGTATTTTATTCCGCCTTAATAACTGTAAAATATCCGGGTATAATACAGTGTGGGCATCCTTAAACCAACAACTTTTATTAAAAGTGGCCAAATTTGAGACAGAATACTAACTTCTGATTGGCTAATACCTTAAAATTTTATTATGTTTTTTGAAATTTTATTATATTTTTTAAATTTTATTATGTTTTTATATATATATAGCCAAATTTTGGTTTCTATACTAACTTTAATACAATTCAACCAAATAAAATTATAATTAACTAAAAAAATAAACTTCATAACTTTGTTCTTTAGGTTTAATCGAAGACATTTTGTTAATATCTACTTTAGTTTTTATTTATAAGCTTTTAAAAATTATGTGTTTTATATGTTGATTTAAGGATGCCTGCACTGTACTATGAGTATTCAATACAATTTTATACTGCGTTAATAGTAAACTACACAACTTTGTAAAAATACCCACCCATGTAAAGTACCCTTATATGCCCAAATTTGTAAGACCCGGGTACTTTGGAGAACGGAATACGGTACGTCATGGGAACGTTAATCTCGTATATCTAATTGAAGGTTTATGATTTACCTTACAAAAGAATTATTCTTATCAAGTAAATTATGATTTCTGTTATTTAAAGCTCTGATTTTTATATAATACAGATTATGAATTGATAATGTTGATAAACGAATAATGCTAAAAAATTTTCAATGTACCTATCGGAAATTCTATAAAAATTGATTCCGTAAGGTTAAAATTTTTTAAATTAAAATGTTTCAAACAGCTTGATGTAGGTTTATTATTTCATAATAACTTTCGGCCTAATATATTATAAATGTAGCATATATAATTTTTAGCTAATTCAAATAAATCATTTAACTATCTCGTACACAACAAAAACTTTATAAGGATCATCCAAATTCAAAATTTAGAATTTTTCTCTTTTGGTTAGCTAAAGCTGATATTGATGAATATCAGACCTTCAATACCTTCAGTATCCCACACGATCATGAAATTTTAATTAAAATCGCAAAGTTTTTTTCATCTTGGATATTTAATGTATTTCATATTTATTTTTTTTTCACTAATTTCAAATAATATGGAATGGCAATGTTTTTACCTTAGAAAGCATGAGCTAATTTCAATGAGAATTTCATTTTGAAGGACGACCACAATTAAATGTGAAGAATGTCATGATTATAAATAGGATTCCATTTTTAGAATTTTTTTTTTTATTAATAACCGCCACGATTTCCTCCCTACTATGGTTCAATTTAGGGTTAGAGCTGGCCTGGTTTAAAGTTAGCGTGGCAGGAATTAGGCGGCAGGGAGAATGATTATCGCGGAAATCATTGAAACCTCTTTCAAAACTTTACCGATTTTTCAATCTCTCTTTTTTTTTAATTGTTAAAATAATAATTACCAATCTGTGGGTACAAATATTTGAAAATCAGGTGACTGTATTTTTTTGTTTTTTTTTATAAAAGGTCAACGATTTCCAATGTCAAAAAACAATTCAAAACAAAAAAAATACATTAATAAATACATTCATAAAAATTCCTATAAAAAGAAAAAAAAATCTTTTCTCTTTTTTTTTGTTAATCTATAAAGGATAATAATTATGAACCGAAATCTTGCCTTGTTCTTCGCTTTTTTGGCTGTATTTTCTATTGTCAATGCTATTCCACACCAAATGATTAAAAGAGAAACCAAATTTTTGCAATGTCCTTCCCAATATGTTAGAAAAAATACAGTCACAATCGATCAAGTAACAATTGATCCTGATCCGCCAGTTTCTAATCAAGCGATCACTATTAAAGGTCATGTAAATACAACTGAGAATATTGTTAAAGGCGACATATTCCTTTTTGGATTTAGTGATGTAAATTTCAAACTCTTAGGGGGTAATCGTACAGGTATTTGTAGTGATGGTAAAACTAAATGTCCAACTGAATACTATGTTATAGACTTTAGTATTACTGCACCCAAATTGCCTGATATATACTTCATTGCAGCCGGAATTGTTTAGGCCAAGCACTAATGAATCAATAGCTTGTGGTTTCTCATTAATTACTAATTACTGAGGCAATGCAGAGTTAATTAATTGGTTCTCGTAACCCGGCCGGGTCGAATTTTGAAATTTATGTAATAAATGTTTATATGTTTTACAGCTGTTCTCATAAATTTTGGGACATCTGGTAAAAAATTGACCGAATGATTTTAGGCCGATTC